CCTTTGCGCCCATGTTGCGAACATAATTTTTTGTCCTAACTGCATGAAAAGTATGGCATTGAGGGCACGAGCGAAGCGGGCGCAAAAGTACAGCAAGCGGGCGTAAAAGTACTTTTGCGCCCGCTTGTGTGACGTCAGCGGGCGTAAAAGAACTTTTGCGCCCGCTACCCCGACCACGGGCGAGAATCAGTTACTTTGCGCCCACCTTAAGTGCCCGAAATGACATACTTTTCGTGCAGGTAGGACAAAAAATTTTTTTCCTGTCATTTCCCTGACTTTACTGACATGTGGCCACCCTGTAAAATAAAAAATTTATATTCGATCTCTAAAAGAATAAATTTTACATTCTAGGGGCATTAATTTATAGAAGAGGTTTGAAAAGGAATATAACGGAATTATCATTTTCATTATAATGCTTGAAACTCGCGCAGCTAAACACTATGATTATCACTACTTGAAAACTTTTTCATGTGAGTGTATATATATTTGCTATTTGAATAGTAAATCGCATTTATATATCCTGTGCGAGAAAACCCTCTGTATATATTCACATCTTCAACAGTGAGAAGTGCGAGTCCGCGACACGGCAAACCATAATAAACTTGGTAATGGGCAGTTAGCAAGCTCAACGTCAGGTGCCGACTATTAATTTTGCGCGTTGATGCCTCCTCCGAGGAATTAATTGTCCGTCTGGCGTACGTCGAACGTCTGGAATTTCGATTGGCTTCGATCCCCGATCGACAAACGCGATCGGCACGCTATATACTCTCGATAATTAATTGTCATTTTGATTCTTAATCAGAATCAAGGGACGAGAATGAGGTGAAAGATGGAGATCATTTTTATTTTTCAAAAATTACGGAGACGCTAATTGCTAAATAATTAATATTTCAATTTAATTTCAATTATGTCATTTTTCTCTTTGGAAATTTTACTCTAATTTTTTAACCAAATTATTCAATGTTTACTTCAAATTATTTAATGCTAAAATAAAAGTATCTAATCCTCAATTACAATTTTTTCTCCAAATGTTTAATTATTATTTTTAATTTAATTATTAATTTAATTGTTCAATATTATTAATTTTAATTTTGAATATCAAATATTAATTTCCTAGCTTTGTAATTAAAATTATTTCTCTCTAATTTTATTTCAATTAAAAGTTTAAAATACTGTAGAAATTTTCAGTTATATGACAAATTTTTTCCACGTTCAATAAATAATAAAGTAAAATAACAAAAATGTTTAAAAAAAAAATGCGGAGAAAAAATTCACTTGGTATTTAAATTTTACGATTTTAAAAACTTTGCTATAAGTGGATAATTAGCATTTTGCTTAGATAAAACTTTATAATGTAAACACTGTAAAATGATTGTCGCTTTGCTGCTTTATGATTCCCTGTGTTCATAATGCGCGGCGCAAGACGACAATTATCCACGTTTTGCGTTTAATTAAGTTCCAGAGCATTAATTGATTAAAAGACTCTACCATCGCGTGATAAAGGTTTATTCAGTGCACGTCTTGTATCGTCAATTGATTGTTAATTTCCAAGGATCACGATATAGTATATATATGTAGGTATATACGTATTACTTGCGCGAATTAAAAACAGGCTTTTGTCGATGGATTCTCATCGCCCGAAAAAGAAAATTACAAGCATATATAATACGGTTTTAATTTAAAAATACAATTTAAATTCAATCACGAATTGAATTCATGTTATTTAATTATTTCATTTAAATTATCAATTATCAATTATAAATATTATCAAAATTAAAACTTTTGATTTATTAAAAAGAACTTTTCGTTTTATTCTTTTTCTTTGGTTTTGTCCTGGGCTCGAACTAGGTCCGTAAAGTCCGTAAAGGTCCGTAAATTTGCTTAATTGATTTAAAGAAGAATTTTAGTTAAAAATTGTAATTGGTTTAAGCTCTGGTTTTCACAATTTCGTTGTGAAAGAAATTGAATTTACTATTTATTAGCTTGTATAGATTTAATCAAAATTCAATATTCAAGCAGATGGATTTTAATTAAATTGGTGAAATTTTGGGCGTTTAATTAAAAAAAAAATGATTTTTCCGTATTTAGAATACGGAACATTTGAAAAAGGAAAAAAAAAATTGTCGATCGCAGGAAGCGATTTGAGTTTACAAGTTGCGCGGAGATATGATCAAAAAGTAACTGCCAATATATGTATATCCTGTTGTTGGTTATTTTTATTTTTTTTTATTATTTTCTTTTCTCATATCGATAAAATAGCGCGCGAGAGAGAAAATGACGTGATGAATGTTTTGCATGCCACTTGCAAGCACGTACGAATTAAATTAATTTCAGCGGGTGCGAGAGGAGCAATGCAGTGGCAAAAGTATGAATGGAAAGATAAATGCGGGTAACTATCGAGGTGCAACGGCCACGGCTCTTTCAATGGAAATTGAAATGTCAAACTGGTTTATTTCTTTCGTCTCATATCGTCCACCTTTTGCAAACAGATTCACCTATTTTCAATTTGCATTTTGTTTTCTCTCTTTAATTTATTACTGTGCGCACTCGAAAATAATCTTGATTCCCGGTTATAGTTAAATATATTTTGGAATATAAATGGAAAGAAGCTGAGAAAAGGGGGAAAGAGAGAGAGAGAGAGAGAGAGAGAGAGAGAGAGAGAGAGAGAGAGAGAGAGAGAGAGAGAGAGAGAGAGAGAGAGAGAGAGAGAAAGCTGTCAACTTTCAAGTCGTTGACGACATGTACGGGGTTACCACAAATATTTAATTTTATTTTTCCCTGACTTTTCCCTAATATCCAGACAAAATTTTCCCTTTTTCCCTGACCATAAAGAATATTCTGATTCACTCTAAAAATTATTAGATACTCAAAAAAACATTCTATTACATTTACTTACGAATTTCTTAAATTTGTAAAATTATTCGCAAACATCAATAACTAAATTTTTAAATAAGTATTTAATTATTATTTTTCCATAGGAATTAAAATTCTTCAAAACATTCAAATTCAAACATTTTTAAAATTAAACAACTTATATAAGAATATTATTATAAAACATGAAGATATCAATTACTCCGAGTCGAAGACTCGGAGTGATTGATATCTTCATGTTTTATAAAAGTTTTAATTTCATAAAATTTTTCAAAAAAAGTTAAATTGTTTACAAAAATTATAATGAAATTCTAAGCAAGATTTCAATTATTTTCATAAATAATAAAATTCTTCACATGGTTTCAATTATTTTTAATACAATTTTAAATAAATTTCTCAAAAAATAAAATTATCTTCAAAAATTTTTTGCAAGAATTAAATTAGGTACATTTCACAAATAATGAAATTCTTCGCTGAAATTCAAAATTTTTCAAAATTTACATTTTTAATACAAGTTTTCAAAAGAATATTCTAATTATTTAAATAAAATGTAATAAAATTCGTTGCATAAATTCAATTATTTTTACAAGTAATAAAATTTTTCACATGAATTCAATTATTTGAAAAAAATTGATAAAATTCGTTGTAAGAAATCCATTATTTTCATAAATTATAAAATTTTTCTGAGGATTTCAATTATTTATAATACAATTTAAAGTAAATTCCTAGAAATATGGAATTATTCTCTTAATTTTTTTGTAAGAATTTAATTACATTTCACGAATATAATGAAATTCTTCGTTGAAATTCAAATATTTTCATAATCTACTTTTTTAATAAAAGTTCTCAAAAGAATTCAATTATTTAAAAAAATGTAATAAAATTCGATGCAGGAATTCAATTATTTTCATAAATAATAAGATTCTTTCCATTATTTCAATTATTTAAAAAAAAATTTGAAAAAATTCATTGCAAGAATTCAATTACTTTCAAAAAATAAAATAATAAAATTCTTCACAGGATTTCAATTATTTTTAATAAAATTTTAAGTAAATTCTTCGAAAAAAACTATTTTCAAAAATTTTGTTAAAATTCTACGAAAGAATTCAATTATGTATTTTATCAATTATGTATTTTTAAAAATTCATGCTATAATGCTTTTAATATTTAATTATTATCTTAAATTTTAACTAATATTCATTTTTAAATCAATTTTTATTGAAAAATTCTACAAGAATTCAATTATTTAAATACAAAAATAAATAATTTATTGAATGAATGAATGTTTTTCGAAACTAAATTATAAAGAATTTTATCAACAAATTTGAATTTTTTCGAGAAATTTTAATAAAATTTTCAAGAATAATTAAATTTTTCGAGGAATTCAATTAAAATTGTATTAAAAATAATTGGAATTCTATGATGAATTTTATTATTCATGAAAATAATTGAATTTTTGTAAAAAATGTTATTATTTATGAAAATAATTGAATTATTGCAAAGTTTGCTTAGAATTTTATCAAAAAAAATTTTTTTAAGTAATTTAATTCTTTTGAAAAATTTTATTAAAACTGTAGAAATTGAATATCATTGAATTGAGAAAAATTTTTTGAAAATAATTGAAATTTTGCAAAGAATTTTATTAAAATTTTTGAAAATAATTAAAATTCGGAGAAGAATTTTATTATTTTTAAAGATAATTAAATTTTGACGAGAATTTTTTTAAATTTTTGAACATAATTGAATTTTTGCAAAGAATTTTATTACTTTTGAAAATAATTGAATTTCTGCAATCGTTTGTAACTTCTCCAAAATTCAATTTTTTCCAGTTACTTAAATAAAAATCCCTGACTTTTCCCTGACCAATTTTACTTTCCCTGACCTGTGGCAACCCTGATGTACTTAGATGAAGAATACTCGAATTTTTTTTTTCGTTTTTCTTTTTCTCACGGACTTGAAGCAAATTTACGGACCTAATCCAAGCATTGACAGTTTTTTTTCAGCAAATTTTCATCTTTTACGAATTTTTTCCCCTGCGAACAGAAAAAAAGTACAGGATTAGAAAAATCGAAAAATTCCTAAAATTGAAATATTGAATTAAAAAAATTTAAATGATTAATTTTTTTCAGAAAGGGAACCAAGCGTTTCTGGAGTTACGAGAGGAGCGTTGCCTTCAGAGTCGGGAGATATTGAAGACGAGCAAGAAACGGACGACACGGGAAGTACGAGTGGTAAAGCACCGTCGCCATCGAATCCACTTCTTCAGGAAAGATCAAATTGTGATGAACTCAGACACGTGATATGTCATCTCGAAACAAAGGAACTTTGGGATAAATTCAACGAACTCGGGACCGAAATGATAATCACAAAGACCGGAAGGTTAGTTAATTTTCGAACACTAAACTAAATTATCTATTTTCAAATATTGTAGATTTGAATATCGCCAATTTTCAGCGATCAGTGAAATTTTATTCTCAACGATTTTCAAATATTTCAGAATTGAATAACAATATTAAGAAGACGATTTTTCCCACGAGTAAATAGTGAATTTATTTTTGAATGAAGAATCATCATTAATAGAAAAATAAGAATCATGTTTAGTAGAATAATAAATAGAAAAATGAATCTCAAGAATAATAAATATAAAAAAGAATCTTCATTAACAGAATAATAAGTAGATAATAAGAATAATAAGTTATTCTTTAATCAAAATCAAAATCTTTTAACGCAACAATGGCAACAAAAATTTCAGTTGTACATAGTTTTGCTAGTTAATAGAACAATAAACAAAAAAAAATAAGAATTGTCATTAATAGAACAATAAAGAGAAAAAAGAATCATCATCATCATCATCAGCAATATAACAGATTTAGCAAAGTGTTTTTCATTGTGAAAAGGGTTATAGAAGTTAATCCCCAACGGATACACGTAATGAACTGGTACTACATCAATGTCCCAAGTAGAAGTGTCAACGTCAAAGCAATATAACCAGCGACTCATTCTCATTATCCGTGCCCTATCGCCCCCTTTATTTTTTTGCCCTCGCCTCGGCCCTTTTTGATCTGAGGTTGAATATGAACGTGCGTCCCTACAAATTCAATCACTACGGGGTCACGAGTTAGCAACACCCACGAGAACTTTATGCACCATGAGAGCTATAACAATCGAATTAAACAGAGACGTTTGCAAAGAGATATATATACAGTGGGTGGTTAGAATGACTTTATCAATTCTTCCATATTGATTAACTTTTTACAACTTGTACATCTCTATCATCACTGCTAATAATTTCACAAAGTTTCTCTAAATAAATTCGGAAGAAAAATTTTCCAACTGTTGAATTTTTTAAAAAAAAATGGCAATTCTAAATATTCCAATTTCACTATTTTTAAATTAAAAAAAAATTAAAATTAAAAATAGAATTTTTCCATTTATTAAATAAAATTGAAGCAAAAATTCTCCATATTCAGGGTTGCCACGCGACCTGGAAACCTGGAAATGTCAGGAAATTTTCTAAATCTTGAAAAAACCAGGGAAAGTCAGGAAATACTGATCAGAATCCTGGAAAACTGTTTTCTAAAGTTATTGTCCTCATTTTTGAAATCTAATTTTACTTAAATTGCGTTTACAATTTTCATAAGTAGATAAACTTCAAAAGGTTTTATTTTGAAATTTTAGAAAATTTCAATTTTGAATAAATGAATTAAATAATAAAAATTTTACAGGAATTCTATTATTTACAAATTATTTATAAATTTCTTCGTAATAATTCAATTATTTTCATGAAGAATAACATTTTTTTTACCAAAAATTCAATTATTTTCATAAATAATAAAATTCTTTATAGATTTTCAATTATTTTCATAGATAATAAAATTCATCGCAGAATTTCAATTATTTTTAATACAATTTTAATGAAATTTCTCAAAAATTGTAATTATTCTTAAAAAATTTTATTAAAATTCATCAAAGAAATTCAAATATGGTTAAAAGTTTAAATAAACTCTCGTCAAAATGTCAATTATCTTTATAAATAATAAAATTCTTCTTTAAAATTCAATTATTTTTAAAAATTTTAATAAAATTCTTGTCAAAATTTCAATTATTTTCAAAAACTTTTCTCAATTCAATCAAATTTTTTTTACAGAGATTCAATTATTTTCAATACAATTTTAATAAATTTTCTCAACAAGATTCAAATATTTAAAAAAAAATTTAATGAAATTCTTCGAGAAAATTCAATTATTTTCAAAAAACTTTGATAAAATTCTTTATACGATTTAAATTATTGTCATTACAATTTTAATTAAATTTGTTGAAATATTTTAATTTTTTTTAAAAGTTCGTAATAAAATTCTTCAAAATAAATCAATTCTTCTGAAAAATTTTAATAATATTATTCCAAGAATTCAATTATTTTCAAAGGCTGTAATAAAATTCTTGTCAAGAATTCAATTATTTTCATAATTTAAATAACATCATTTTTGCAGAAGCTGAATTATTTTCAAAAAATTTAATAAAATTCTTGGCAAACTTTCAATTATTTTCAAAAACTTTCCTCAATTCAATCAAATTTTTTTAAAGAGATTTAATTATTTTTAATACAATTTTTAATCTAATTTCTACAAAAATGAAACTAATTCTTAAAAATTTTCTTAAAATTCGTCAAAAGAATTTTAGTTATTTAAAAATTTGTTGATAAAATTCTTTTTGAGAGTTCAATTTTAGGACACATTCAATTATTTATTTTTGTATTTAAATAATTGAATTCTCGTAGAATTTTCTAATAAAAATTAATTTAAATATGCATTTCAGTTAAAATTTTAGATAATAATAATAATTGAATATATTAAACTCTCTAAATTTGAATTAGTGACTGACTTTTTGCTTTTGAATTAGCAGATTTTACCAATAAATAGTCGTTTCCACTGATTTATTAGTAAAATTTACTAATTAGAATTTAAAGAGAAAGTATTATAGCGTGAATTTTTAGATATAATTGAATTTTTAAAAGGTTTCAAATTCTAATCTTTGAAAGTTTGAATTTTTCACAATTTTAACTGAAAATTGTGTAGATTTAATTGTTTTAAAAAAGTTTAATGGAACTGTTTTGAAATTATTGAAAGTTTTTATTTTCTAATATAAATTTAATTGATGAATTTACGAATAATTGAAATTTTGTAAAATTGAATTGTAAACGAATGAATTTTTAAAATTCTCAAAGAAATTTTTCAAAAAATATTTAAAATAATTAATTTAAACTTTATAAAGAAGAATTTTAGTTGAAAATTCTCGAAAACAATAATTGAATTAAAATAATGAAAAAATGAAAGTAATTTTGAATAAGTTAGAGTAACAATATTTTTATAATAATATAAAATAATGATTTTATTACTTGGTCATCTTTAATTATTATAAAAAATGAAGAAATCGATTACTCCGAGTCTTCGACTCGGAGTTATCGATATCTTCATTTTTTATAAATTTTTTTTTAAAAATTGTTTAATTTCAAAAATGTTTGAATTTGAATGTTTTGTGAAATTTTAATTTTTTTAAAAAAATAATAATTAAATATTTATTTAAAAAAAGAAGCAATAGAACATTTTTCTGAGTAAATTTTGAATAAATTATCAACGAGAGGTTAAAATTATATTTCCAGTAGATTACTATTTAAATTAAAAATGAAAATCAAAGAAAAAGAATTTTTAATTTTTTAATTTATAATTGAATTATTTTTTAATCATCAGGGGAAGAGTCAAAATTTTGTCTTGAAAATTGAGAAAAATCAAATTTTTGTAGTAACCCTGTTATAGGGTTAATTTAAAAACTATATTTGAAAAGGGCAATTTCGTGAAAATTGAGAAATGATAATTATAATATTTTACTTTGGAAATGAATAGACTTATAGAGGAGATTTTAATTATATGAATGGAGAATGGAGTATATGCGGAGAATTGGGGGATTTTTCGGCGAGGAAAGAGGCGTCGCGGACGACGCGCACCTAATTGCCCGCTACAATGCCAATCTTCTCCTCGGTATATAGTCGTCGTGTGCCGGCGCAGCGCGGTTGCACCTTCATCAGAGTGTATAGCGTCCCAAGGGATTCCCCAGCCGGTTGGTCGCTTACTCGCGCGTTAGTAATTAGATCTAGCTTGTCGCTCCCTTCAACCGTCAACCTACCAACACTTACTTGTAAAACCTCCCTCCTCTAACATACTCTTTCACCTCTTCATCAATTTATCCCCCAAGAACAAAAATAAATTCCCCCAATCATTCCCTTTATAATTTATTTAGCTTCAGATAGTCACAACTTTTTTTTGCAGCAGCAGCAGGTTTTCCGAGAGAAATTTTCATTCTGTTTTTTCCTGTTGAAACTTTTTTCTGATTTACGGAAAGAATTTTGACTTCTCCTTCAAATGCTAACGAATATTTTGTTTCACTCTAAAGAATATTTTGTCTTACTTTTAAGAATATTTCATTTTACTCTAAATTTTGTCTCACTCTAAATCATATTTTGTCTTACTCTAAAGAATATTTTCTTTACTCTAAAGAATATTATGTTTTAGTCTAAAGAATATTTTGTTTTACTCTAAAGATTATGTTTTACTCTAAAGACTATTGCGTGCTTGACGATATAAGAAAATTTTGATTCTCTCTAAAAAATATTCTGATCCTCTCCAAAAAATATGGATAAAAGAAAAATACGTTTGTTTGTGAAAATTCTCAATTTGTAAAATTACTCGAAACATCAATAATTCTTTCATTTGAATATAAATATTCTAATCATATTATTTTTTATCTACAGGAATTCAATTTTTCAACAATTTCAATTTCATTTCTCAATTTTCAAAATCTTTTGTAATTCAATTATTTATAAAAAGAAAATTGCAACTTTAAATTCTCCAAAATTCGATTATTTCTAGAAATTTTTAGTTAAATTTTTCGCTAAGTCAATCACATAAATAATAATTTAAAGAAATTTTGCAATTCTTATCAGAAACGGAAAAAAATTAAGCTTCTTTTTTAAAATTTATTGTTTCGTATTTTTTAAGATGAAAAAAAGATGAAAATCAATTCTTTTTGAATTTTTTAAAATTCTTTTTTAATTTTAAGACTATATTCAAAAGTAACTAGACACCAAAAAATCGAATTCTTTTTATTAATTCGTTTTACTTTTTTCACCATTCTTAAAGTTTGACACATTTTCTAAAAGCTTTATGTTTCATTCAAAAGTAATTTAATGAAATTTTTTTGAATTTATATTTCAGTAAGTTTGTTAAAAATTTTGACAATAATAAAATTTTTCCAAGGAATTTAATTAAAACAATTTTGAAAATCGTATTATATTTAGAGAAATTTTATTAAAAAGAATTGAATCC